ATTTTTTATTATTAATCGGATATTAAAAAGGATTTGGAGCAGGGACTTTTGACTTAAAAATCTTGATAATAGAATTATATATTTCTTAAAATTGATATTACTGGATGAGGAGGTTATTACGAACCTGGTTGAATTAGTTTTTCAATAGTTGATCAGGCTATATATTTAGTATTGAGTTAATTTTTAGCGGTTTGTTGAGTTATATATTCAATGTAGCATTCTTCGGCAATAGCTTCAAATATAACATATAGATTTCGAAAAAGCATCAAACAATAGAATTGATGTTTTTTGTATTGAATAGATTGATCAGTAGGGTTGGGTCATGGAGAGGGATATCAGAAATGAGTATATTAGCGATGTAGAGTTGATTTTGGAATATTTAATGAATATATATAATCAAGGTTTTATATATCTTGGTTTCAGAAGCAAATGTATTAGTATTGATAGCAGGTATACCATAATTGATATTATTAAATGTGACTAATGAATTTGTTATATTGGCCATTGTGATAATTCAAGTCAAAGTCGGAATCAAAATTATCAAGTTAAAATCATTGTGTACAAGTAAGTATGATCAAAGCTGGGCTATTATCGACAATAAGGCCTTTTGAAGGGTTGAATATACTATCACAGGGCTAATACAGGTTCTGATAGGTACTAAATAAGATATATGATATTTGACAAGGGGAAAAGGAGGTGTGCGAAGTAACACTGACTATATGATGGGTGAATATCTAAGGCATCTATCTGAGCTAACTAAGAATGGGTAGTGGACATGTGATAAATGTAGGTACGTATAGGTAGGTGTAGGAACGGGTAGTGAACCCGTGACATCCACTTACTTATATTTGCTAAAATAGATTAGAGTATAAGATTACGAGCTTTGACTTCGGCCCCTCGGTGCTGGAAAAACAATTCGCCTCATTACACTCTTCGAATCATTTTTCTAGAGTATCTCAATTTATACATCGCAGCTTGTCCTCCGGAGATATATTAAATTGATATTTATATAGATTGAATAGTATTCTTAAATAATATATCTTTAGATTTTATTTTATTGATTGATTTGAGAAGTATACTAATATTGAAGATTGAATATAATATTATATATAAATTTTCAAAAGAATATTCGTTATCGTATACTAACTATATATATTTTAAGAGTATTTTATAATATAAAAGACGAGCTTTGATTTCGGCCTCTTAGTATTAAAAAAACAAATCGCCTCGCTATATTCTCCAAATCGTTTTTTAGAGTATCTCAGATCCTATATTACAGCTCGTTCTCCGGAGGCCTATTATAGCTTAATAATTATAAATATTGAAAGATATTATTAAATATTATATCTTTAGATTTTGTTTTATTGATTAATATAAGAAGTATACTAATATTAAAGACTAAACATAGTATTATATATAAATTTTCAAAAAAAAGTTCGTTATTATATACTAACTATATATATTTTAAAAGTGTTTTATAATATAAAAGATTAAATTAGATAATATACTATATTCTTTCTATTATTTGAAAAAGGAATCTTTATTTAAAATAAAAAACTTTAGAAATATTTCAGAAAATTATTTAAATTATATTTTGTTCACAAATAATCCAAAGATCTAAAAGTTTTCAGAGAATTTATAAATAAGTTGTTGTGTTTTTTCAAATAATAAAAGAATAATCGATTTGTAACTAGTATTCTTTTATCTGATACTCAATACAATCTTCGCATTTTTGATAAGAAAGAGAGTAACAAGTAAAGCGACCAAGATGCTATCTATCTGTCTGTCTATTGCATGAATTGAGATAAAAGTTTGTCGTGATGTATGTCATTAGCAAGTAGGAGGGTTGGGGTTAGATGTGTGGGGTAAATTGGACTCCGGATCTTGAGATTGGATGGGATGGGTATCGTAACAGACACGGTTTGCTATTAGGAAGAATAATGGACGGGGTAGAGTGAGTGTTTGAGAATATGGAGGGGGGATGTTCCGGGGTTGTGAAAGGCGGGCTGACTTTGTTATATTGTGTAAGTGAAACCGAAAGTGCTGTGAAACATTGCGGAAGTTGGATAACCGATTCGATTGGAGGTCTTGCGAGAGGCTCTCTGGATCTTCGGGTCTACATCTGGCGGAAGCTCCAAATAGGATTGTCGTTCACCGTGACGAAGGGCTCAAGCTCGTGTCATAATCACAACATGTGATCGTCTCAAAACCAATGATGTAACATGGAGAAATCAGCAAAACATCCTATTTCCTCACTGGATCACTTTGCTATAAACACAATGATCCTCTCTCAAATCGCAAATATATGCTATTCATTGAACCGGCCGAGCAATCAGAAATGTTACGCCTCTCTTTTCCCAAAGTCGCATCCATCAGTTGTACCCTCCTTCCAAACCAAGCAAAAATTATCATATCATTTCATTTCTCCATGCTCCTCCCTCATAAAGGTTGCCATTCGTATCTTGATCGTGCGAATTCGGAATAAGAAGAGTAGGGGTTTGTAGACTGGTGAGAAGCGGGAAAAAGAGAAAATCGTATGAGTGTGGGTATAGGTTGAGGAGAAGATGGAATGTTTTGCTGTTGTGGGGTGATCCATCTATAGACCGATACGAGTCTTTCTCCAGTGACGTCTCTTTGCGTTGTATCTGTGGGATTTTATTAGTTAATTGCTTGATTGGAATTGTCGATAGTGGTGAGATGAGTTATCTCGGCATAAAATAGTCGAAGTAGACTGGAGTCGTGGGATTCTGGTGTATGTGTTGCTGTTTTGAGGGGGTCGTAAATCATAAACATACCGGATGGTGTTACCAGTCCTCAAACGGATCCATTGTGGAATGGGTCTGTTTTGCTTTTGGGCTCTCGCAAGCTTCTGCTTGGTGCGGAATGACTTTTGGGACTGTAGAAGGTATCGAGTTAGCATCTATATTATTCGTCGTATTGTGTTCTTCATCCTCGCCCAGATGGTATTGATGGTATTCGAGATCGAGGGTTTCGCCTTTAGTTTCGCGCCCATGAACCAACGATCCTCCTATTTTCTCGAACCCTTCCCAGTTTTCCGATCCGAGTAATTGAGCGTGTGCGCCATCTGAAAAGGGTAGTACATACCGGCATCTTGAAAAGTTGGCGTCGATATTATCGTTGTCGTGCTGGATCAAAAAGTCCTTTGATTGAGGTCCAAATGGATTTGCGCACCAAAAGTTTCTGACGAGGGCTATATTTTTCGGTTGCCCTCTGCATAAATCTAAGGCTTTCAGGCAGGCCAGCTCAGGACTAACCATTAACCACGTGAGCGACTCGTCCAACTGTTGTCATGACTAATCATGATCGGAAGTTATAGCTCCGCGATTAGGATTGGAAATACGGTAAGGCACTGCATGTCAAAGCAACAAGTTGACCTCGTAAAACAGATATCATCTGAGTAGGAAGTGCTACCTTTTGAGACTCAAGAATACCTCGAACCGTGCAAACGATCCCAAGAACACGACGAATTAATGTATTTGGTTTGATTTATTGAGGATAAGATTGGGACAAAGAAAGGAGGATTCTTAGGAAGTCAAGGATAAGGGACAGCTAAGCACAGTTGTTCAGGAGGTCGAGTTTGGAAAGAAAAGGATAGAGGACAGAGAATACCATTATAAAACTAGCAAAAATGGGCGCAAGTGTCTCGTGGCTGTCGGGGATGTTATTTGCAAAGAAGGAGATCCGGATATTGATTTTGGGACTGGTAAGTAGAAGGCCGAGTACCTCCTTGAATGTTTGGGGAATAGGATGGAAGAAGAGAAGCTGATATATCTGCAAAATTGGTAGGATAACGCTGGAAAGACTACACTACTATACAGATTGAAGGTTAGCGACCACATAATTGGACTCTACGGGAGGGGCTTCATGCTAACGGGAACCCGCAGATTGGAGAAGTGGTAACTACGATACCGACAATTGGATTCAATGTGGAATCAGTGACATATAAAAATCTAAATTTCAATGTTTGGGTAAGCTCATTCTCCTTTGGTCTTTCTAGGTCTGTCACCTAGCGTTCTCTAACTGACTTACTTGGTACAGGATCTTGGAGGTCAGACATCGATTCGACCTTATTGGCGCTGCTATTACGCCAATACCGCTGCCGTAATATTCGTTATTGATTCCACGGATATCGATCGATTAGGTACTGCATCAGAGGAACTGGCAGCGATGTTGAACGAAGACGAGTTAAAGGATGCCGCATTACTGGTATTTGCGAATAAACAAGATCAACCGGGGGCGAAAGGAGCTGGTGAAATTTCCGAGGCTTTAAGACTAGGAGAGTTAAAGGATAGAAATTGGAGTATAGTGGCATGCAGTGCCGTAGATGGTAGTGGTGTGGATGAGGGGATGGATTGGCTTGTTGTAAGTGTTTCGATACTCGGATGTGACTGATGTAGGTGAAGAACGACGACACTAACATGAGAATAGCAAACTGTGCAGCAAGAGTCGTAATAGAGAAAGAAGAAAGAGAAAGCGACTTTGCACCATCATCACGACACATATCTACACATCAGTCGAATAATTGACGGAAAGGATGAAATTTGAATCTGGGTACAAATTTTAAGCTCTGTAGTTTTACTACTCGAGTACACTCATGAATATGAATAAGACCATTATTCCCGGTAATATAATAGATGCATGGAATGTTTGAGAATCTACATCTGGGGCGGGAGCACTGCATTCGGAACTCTATTTGTAATTGGGACATCTTAGATTGATGGGATAGGTAGTGTTGAATTCATATTGACATTGATCTGGTCGCTTTTGAGTATGAAACCTACCCGAAAACCCGGGCTCCGGATTCCTTCCTCGATATTCGATGGTTGGTGACGTAGGACTATACTATACTTCTGCTTTGTGATACACTTGAGTCTGGATCTATGGATTGGTAAAGGGGTAGAAAGCCATAGTAGGAGAGTATGGAGTATTTTGGGGGCTAGTCCATAAGTGCCACATGCACAACCAAGACTAATTGTGCCGCCGCATATGCTTGTGGATACTGTGTACATGGTCTTTGTCAGATCTTCGCGAGATGGTAATTTTGAGAAGATATCCTCCCATCTTGATAATAATATCACAATTCCCATACTTGAAAGCTAGAGGTTTTTAGTGAAAACCTTGAATGTGTACAGTAATCGAGCCACAAGCGTGGTAGATGTAGATACCGAGCCTCGGGATTTGAAGAAGGCTGGTTTGAAGCTAGGTTAATTAGGATAGTGAACCTTGAAGCTAGCTACCCGCTGTCAAGAAAAACCTTGGTATATCTACAAACTATTTTTTGTCAGAAGTTATGAATATGGCTCTCCAATATGGAGAGATCAAGTCATTTTCTATTACGGCATATCGTTGAGGTACCTACGTACTCAAGACTCAAGCGGCGAATTCCACCCTTTGTTAAGCGTTCCTGATGTCGTATTCCCGTGGCTATTACCGGCTCTTCTTCCCGAAGCTCCTTATGGAAATATGTTCCCGAAATGGTTAAAAAGCACAGCAACATTTCATATCCGAGGTTCCCTTTCAAATATGTAGCACAAAAGCATCTCGATGGATGTGGTGTGCTTTATGTAATACACTGATATCTATTCGCTATTGGTGATTATATTTCTTAGCATCAGATCAGACCCGTCGAAGTGCGCAATGTACAAGTAACAAGGGTACTGACCAGGGGTTTGTTAGAGGCTGAATGACGGCATTCATTGATGTAATAGTTTATGGCGTAAGAGCTTAATTAATACCATGACAGCGTTGAAAGGGAAAAGAAGGGAGAAATGTTGCAAAATGAGGATATATTATTCTTCAGATGAGATTGATGAAGGGGTAAAAGATTCTACAGTAGTAGACAAACATCAAAGTAAATACTGAGTAGCTTGTAAGTTGTAACAGATTACAAGCTAATAAGTTAACTCATGCCAAGCTTTGAACCGATAAGAAAAGTGGCGCTGCTGATTGTTCAAAATGCGGAGAAAAGCACTAGTAAAATCCGACAAAAAAAAGAAAATAACCAATATGAGGTATTTGAACAGGGGGTGATTGCGTTTGGTTACCCCGAGTTACTCGAATTATATGCAAATGTGAGATATTCCGATATTCCCAATTAAGGTTAAGAAAGACCTCGAACAATCAGATCCTTGTGAAGTATATGCGATAAATGGAATCAAAAGCTCGGAACTGTTGGACAGATAAGGCTTCTTTTGAGTTTTTTTGCTAAAGTTTGACTAAGATGGCAAGCTAGCAAGCTAGGTAGAGTAGAGATGGAAGAACGGGTAAGTAGCAAGACCTTTTAACCTTTCACCAGAACAAATCCCGAAGAATGGTCATACCGGCATTGTAATTGTATTGTATCGTATTGTATTATACTTGAATCTTATTAGCTGATGCTGGTACAATAATCATACTCGTACACTCATACTCGTAATGAGGTTCCTTTAATGCGGAATGACCCCGAGGCCGAGCAAATCATAGATCCTTCCTCTTTTTCTTTTTAATCAATTCGTTCCAGACCTTGAAAGCTTTACTAATACAACTCATCAACTAACTCTTTGTGATTGGCTGCCACGCAAGGAGGGGTTCTTTCGGAATTCTATTTATTTGTTTCCATCCCGCCATTTCTTGTTGCTCTCTTATTTTTATTCTTATAATTCATCAAAGGTTTCTATCATTCTGAGAAATCATCATAATTACTTCACATATACCCTCGTACTCATCAACCAAACACTCAAACCATCAAACCATCACATCTACTACCTACCTGTGCAACAACAGCAACACTATAGCAATCATGGTTGCCGACGATAAGCCCGCGTCTACCTTCAAGTACAATGAAGCGCCAGTCTATACAACCTCCAATGGATGTCCTGTGAGGCACCCAGAGGAGTTTCAGAGAGTTGGTACCAATGGACCACTTCTCCTGCAAGACTTCCATTTGATTGATTTGTTGGCACATTTCGATCGCGAACGTATCCCGGAGCGTGTGGTACATGCTAAGGGTGCTGGGGCGTATGGAGGTAAGTTCTCGTACTTTATCTTCTTTCCGGTCGCTACCATACTAATAGATTATCCATAGAATTCGTAGTTACACACGATATCAGTGATATCACTACCATCGATATGTTAAGCCAAGTCGGCAAGAAGACTCCTCTTGTTACACGTTTCTCGACCGTCGGTGGCGAAAAGGGCTCTCCAGATTCTGCTCGTGACCCAAGAGGTTTCTCCATCAAATTTTACACTGAAGAGGGTAATTGGGATTGGGTTTACAACAACACACCTGTTTTCTTCCTCCGAGATCCCACCAAGTTCCCCCTCTTCATCCACACACAAAAGCGAAACCCACAAACAAACTTGAAGGATGCTACCATGTTCTGGGATTACCTCTCCACTCATCAAGAGGCTGTTCACCAGGTTATGCACCTCTTCAGTGACCGTGGTACACCATACTCTTACAGACATATGAATGGATATTCTGGTCACACCCACAAGTGGATCAAGGCCGATGGTACTTTCAACTATGTTCAAGTCCACTTGAAGACAGACCAAGGAAGCAAGACTTTCAATAACGAGGAGGCTGGCAAGATGGCTTCAGAGAATCCAGATTGGCACACTCAAGACCTATTCGACGCAGTTGACAAGGGAGACTACCCAAGCTGGAGCGTCTTCGTCCAAGTCCTCTCCCCAGAACAGGCTGAGAAGTTCCGCTGGAACATCTTCGACTTGACCAAGGTTTGGCCACAGGCCGAGGTTCCATTGAGACCATTCGGAAAGATGATTCTCAACAAGAACGTCGAGAACTACTTCGCCGAAATTGAACAGGTTGCTTTCTCGCCATCTCATTTGGTTCCAGGTGTGGAGCCATCTGCCGATCCTGTCCTCCAATCCCGTCTCTTCTCATACCCAGATACTCATCGTCACCGTCTCGGTGTCAACTACCAACAAATACCAGTCAATGCTCCTCTCCGAGCCTTCAATCCGTTCCACCGTGATGGTGCCATGGCCGTCAACGGAAACTACGGCGCCAACCCCAACTACCCATCTTCATATCGAAAACACACTCATAAGCCTGTCAAGGCTACCAATGACCACGAGCAGTGGTCTGGTGCTGCTTTGAGCTTTTTGTCCGAGGTCAGCCCAGAAGACTATGTCCAAGCCAAGGGTCTTTGGGATGTTCTCGGTAAGCAAGAAGGCCAACAAGCTAACTTTATCGGTAACGTGTCTGGACACTTGTCGGCTGCTAAGGAGGACGCTCGGAAGCGTGCATATGAGATGTTCAGTAGAGTCGACAAAGATCTCGGTGCCAAGATTGAAGAGGCAACTGAGAAGTTGGCTCCTGCTCCTAATAGCAAAGCTGCTGGATCTGCCCAATCTCGCTTGTAGACTGCAACTGTGTTTAGGATCTAGGGAAGGCAGAGGAGTGTTTCAACTTGCGTTTTTGGCGATGATATCTATAATCTTTCTTTTACAAGAGATGAAGGAGTGGGGCACGGTGATAGGGCAGGATATTTTGTTAGCTTTACAAAATTGGTTTATACTTTGCAATGGCATACCCCTTCATGATTTTTCAAAACTTTGAAACCTAATCATATAAACTGGTGACTTGCAAATACTGCTGACCAAAATTTGCCCTATCTCTTCAACAGTCATCTAGTTTGCTGGATTAGATGGCATGTATTCTATCTTCTACTGTATTTCTATTCTATGCGTTTAGGGACTAACGTTTTAGGGAGTACTTTTGCAAATTTGGTGATGCGTTCGTTATCGTTTAGGGTTCCACCAAGGTTAGTCTATTTATTGACAGGCCTTTCTGACTCGTCTCATCTATCGATCGTCACCAGGGATTCAAAGCAAGATTGTTTTGTTAGATATTCGTTCTAGGAAATCTGTGGTTTTCGTTAAAGGTCTACGATTCTGCGAATCAGCCTTTCCATTAGGCCCACCACCAGACGATATTGGTTGCACTGCCCCCTTGTCTCCTATCCGAGGCCCAACGGCGTAGTATTGTAACTTCAGTCCAACTTTCTATAGGCAGCATGTAAAATGCTTGGCATGCTGTCCTATCTGGGCTCGTCTCGCCACCGATAACTAACGTGACACCGCATTTCTTGAAACGAGAAACGAGGCTTTCGTGCTGTAGTGGAATTGCTTCGCCTTGTTCTACAGAGAATTTGGCAATGTGCTGTGTATGCGTTGTGTTGTATTCAGCCTAATTATAGGCTCGCTAAATGAACAATGTAAGTAGCTTTTTATTCAATATGAAGATTTCTCACTGAGAGAATCATCATTATTGCCATCATATCAATAGTCTCGGAGCGTGTGATGACGGAACTAGCTGCTCTTACAAAAGTCTATTGTGGAGGGAATCCTATCGTTGAGTAAGACTATTATCTTGAGTCAAGGTATATCTAATGATATCTAATACGCTCTAGTATTGTCGCCGTCCATGGCCTTAACGGAGACTCGGTCAAGACATGAACATCAAAGACAAACAACAAGTTTTGGTTGGGTGATGCAGATATGCTTCCCTTTACCATGAAAGAATCTCGGATTCTTACATTCAAATACAAGGCTGCAGTCACTGCGCTTTTTGGAAAGACTTCGGCAGATCGAATACTGCATCATGCTCAAACCTTAGTAGCTGAATTGGTAGCTGACAGCCAGGTATGTATAGTTCTCATGGCTGAGGAAGCGGAATTCACATACACTACAGGTGAATGATGCCGAGCACCGCCCAATTATTTTCATATGCCATTCACTGGGGGGTGTCATTGTAAAACGGGTAGGAAAAATTCACCAGATTATCTGATTTGTTTCATTGATTCATTTTAGCTTACAGCTATTACAGGCACTTATATACTCATACAGCCGAACCAGTAAAGCCGTTGAGCACCTCCATTCAATCTTCGTATCCACGTATGGCATATTATTCATGGGAACTCCACATAATGGAAGTAGCTTGATGAGTTTGGCATCCATGGGTCGACGAATGATAGACGCCCTGATGCCGTCCAAGGTACTCAGCACGGATGGACAGTTGCTTGACGCACTGAAGGAAGGATCCGAAACTCTCCATAACATCACGGATATGTTCGCCCCATTGATGAAGCATTTTCGAATCTACTTCTTCTGGGAGCAACAGAAGACGGATTTTGGAACGAAGTTAGACTACGTATGTATTCGGACGCTCGTCCTTCTTATGATCATCTCCGGGCTAATATTACTTAGGTCGTAGAAAGCTCATCTGCTGCCCCGATCCTCGACAACATTGAGAGAGCTGGATTGCCCTACGATCATTCGAATATGTGCAAATTTGCTTCTCGATCTGCGGGAGGATACACTATTGTTGTAGCAGCATTAATTCGATATTCGAAAGATGCTCCGAGTATAATATCGCGGAGATGGGATAACGCAGCAGTGATGTTCAGGTCGGCGCGAAAGAACGAGGCCGCGGAATTGTGCGATTATGGCATCGGAATGGATTGATGACGTATTTGCGTCAAGTTTATTTAGATGAGAGAAAAGGCATTGTCTTGTGTCACGAGCTATGGAACTTTGGGTCATTATTGATTGATTTTGTTATTTATTTGAGATATTCTCTTGTGTAACCACCAGGTCCGGACGTCCACTCCTTACCGTATTACTTCACCTCCGAGTCAATCTGGTGAATCAATCTAGGCTACTAGTAATCATAAATGAACTTTGCATCCTTCTTTGATCGAAACCACCAATGTCATCGTCTGCTTCTCTACGCCAGTCAATTCCACTTTTTCGTTGGCCGGTAGCTTTACTTTCGGATACCTCTGCAAGATCCTCACAACTGTATAAGCGGCCCCCGTAAGAGCAAAGTCCACTTGAAGCGAGTCAGCTTATTAGCTCAACAGCCTCTTGTATTCACCAATACAAGTGTGAATCCCGCTTCAGAATTTAATTTGGTAGAGTATTTTCGTGGGATTGAATAGGGTGGGATAAACTTACTACCGAGACAAACTCTTGGCCCTCCATTGAACGGCAAGTATCCCCATTTTTGATTTGTTGGATTATCGTTCAAGGGCATAGATTCATCCCATCTCTCGGGTCGGTAGATTTCAGCATCCATGCCATAAAGATCTGGTCTTCTATGCATAGTGTAGACGCTGAAGGCAACGGCCGTTCCTTTTTTGATGAAAATTGGTGAGTTCCGATCAGGACCTCCTCCCATTGGTAGGACTGTGTTCTTTAGGGCTGTTCTCGTGTTCACGGGAACAGATGGATATAGGCGAAGTGCTGAGATTTATTTTAGATTTAAACGATAGGGCGAGCTAGCTCAGAACTTACTTTCTTTAAGGACATTTTGAAGATACTTCATATTTCGTAGCTCTGTCCTATTTAAATCAGTCGCATCTCCAATCGAAGCGACTTCTCTTTGTAATTTGGCTAGCACTCTCGGATGGCGTACAAGAAGAAAGCTAGTCAGTCCATGTTAGCTCAGACCTCTTATAATGACTATACTGCAGTAACTCACAAGGTCCAGGAAAGAAGGCAGGCAGTGGTGTTTCTCCCAGCAACAAGAATATTGACAATCTGGCCTCGTAGCAACTCACGATCGCCTTGCATACTCTTCTCTACCGATCTCAAAAAGTGGTACTTCTTCTCCGATCCAGCATCGGAATCTAGCGAGAGATTGTGCTCAATAATTTGGTCGGCAAATTCATGCACTTTGCTACAGGCTTGGAGAAACTTCTTCCCACCAATCAGCCAGTAGAGATCTAAAAGCCGAAATCTCTTGACAACGTATTCTTGTGCAGCATTGAATGCACCGGCAAAATCTTACTCGTTTGTTAAGGCAGGGGACTTGAGACTATGGACAGACTGCCCAAACAAGAATGCGGTGGTTGTATCGAGTGTCAGACGGAAGAATAATGGTTGCAAATCTACCATTCCCCCATTTCTTGGAAGGGCGTCAAGCAGTTCATTCACAGATTCTCTGAAAACTTCTAGATCTTCGTATTGCCTGTGGACAAAATGCGGTCTAAGCAGTTCTCTGGAGCGTTTCCAAGGTTCTCCATCTTGAATAAAGATCCCCTCTCCAAACATTGGAAAGGATATAGCACGTCGCGGTCCCATACCCCAATCTACCCCAGCAAACATGAGTCAGTGGAATTCTGGAGTGGAAGTGAGTGAATCGTATTGATGTAAGTATCTAGGAAAGACATGCGAAACTCGGGAATAGAAGTGAGTGAAGGATCTGGAGAAGAGAAGACAAGGTGAATCTAAGCAAAAACGCGGGCCAAACCTGAGAAGTTTGTGGACATAATAGCTTCCAAATTAGCAGGATCCACCGTACCGAAGGCCGGTGTTAATAAGAAGATTTCGTTTAAAGTATATCCTGTTTGCCGGAAGTGAAATAGAAACAGTTCCATAAGTCTTGATTCACTATCAGCTCGAAAGATCTGCTCCAGACGGTCGATTCCTAGAGGTCTCTGATTCTTGAACAATGGGGGTGGAAGACAGCCAAGATTCTTTATAATGGCTCTTGTTTCCTACATCATAGCCTTAGTAGCAACAGTTTAAAACAGTTTGGAAGAATATACCTGATTTTCTCGAATGCGATTGAGCACCTATCGTGTGCAATAAACGAAAACTCCAAAAATAACAGTGAATAATATGAAAGACATTCTTAATATGGTATTGTCGGAAACTGGAAGTGAAAATATGCCAGTTAGCAAACCTGACAATGGCCGATGAAAAGATCTGGAATTGTTTTGTAGTGAATAAGGCTGGTGAACAAAAGTGTGGCTATACGATATAAAGGATGTTTCTATGTTGATATGGTAACATATCATCACAACATGACAAAACTACCAATCAAGTGATGCAGATGCAGTACTCTGTGCACACAATAACACTTGTTTATTAGAAGATCTGATATGCAACCCATGAGTAGATATGACTTTTGTTAAGGGTGCCAGTACTAGTAAATGTTTCCCATTGCAACTCCAAAATCTTCAGATCTAATGAATAGAACGTTATCTGCATTCTACTTCAAGATTGAAAAGGGTTTGATTGGACTATATCCTCTTAAATGCCCAAAGCCGCTATATTGATAATCCGTATATTTTATTAAAGATATTAATAACATTGTAATTATTTTGAATATTTAGAAAGCAATAAATATATCTAATATGATTTATTATTATTATATCTTTATATTTATAGAAATTATAATATCTACTCTATAACTATTTATAATTATAATTTAAATATTAAGATTTATATATTAATAAACAAGATAATGGGCCCCTGCTCTGTTCCCTGCTCCGTGGATATCGCTACACCTAAAAGTAGCCCTCTGAACCGCCCAGCACACGCGACGGCAAGCCCACAACGTGGACACAACCGCCTACACCAGGCAAAACAGCAGGACCACCTCAATCGGCGGAGGAGGAAATGCACAAATTGGAAGGTAACACACGATTACCGGGAATGGCCATAAGGCTTTCACTTTTCTTTCTAAGGCACTCTCATTTCATGTATCGTAAGACCATAGCTTAGAACATCAGCATACCCTTAGGGAGGTTCTGAGGGCAGCCCTAAGCTGCCCTCCTGATGTAAATTAATACTACCTACCTACCTACCTGCTCCGTGGATGTCTTGCATATGGCATATGGCCTATAAGGCCAATCTCCTTAGAAAAAGAACCAATACAATGTCCAAACTCATGCCTGCACCTATGCCAGGCCCAATATAAAACGTCGATGGGGTACATGAAATGTGACCTATGTGGCTAGCCGTACTGGCCCCCAGCATCAGTAGTGATGGATACCTGCTTTCATTCTTGGTCAGCTTTCCCCGTATATATCCGCGCGTATTACATCAATACCCCGGCTTTCAAGGATTAGTTTGTGTTGGCAGAATGATCTGGTTGGTTGCAAAACGGAAGCGGGGGGGACAAGATTAGAGATAGATAGCAGCAACCTTGGTATCTATACTTGAGTAAATCGATGGTAACCTTATGCACGACATAAGCGAAATTCATGGTTCATGTTCAAAAACATAACGCTGCGGTCATAAAATGTGATATCAAGGCTGATGCTCTGTTGGAGCTTCTTTTACCATATTTACATATTTAGCGAGGCTAGGCTCTTCCGTCCACCATCAATATCTCCCTTCGACAAAGCATCATGATTCAATATGAGAGTTAAGCTCCTTACCGAGCCAAAATCACCACGCGTGGAGTACGCTGCACTGCTCGTTTTGTATTTCCGCTAACTTATCACAGTTTAGTGGCTGTTCACGGTCTCTACGAATCATCATCCGAGACTTGGGCAAACCCGCGAACAACTGAACACTGGCTCCAAGATCTATTTCCATATGAAGCTTGCCGAACACGAGTTCTGTCGTTTGAATATGATCAGGACCGGCTTACAGTCCCCGGAGGAGGGGGAAGTACATCAAATGGCATTCTCGATCTCGCCACAAATCTCATCGCCGAACTTGACTCGTACAGAAATCCATCTGACAGGGCGGAACGACGACCGATCATTTTTATATGCCATGGATTTGGTGGACTTTTGGTGAAGCGAGAGCTCTTGTGTTATCAAATAACAAGAGGGAACCAGAAGTTTCACATCTTCGAGCTATTCATCAATCAACTTTTGCCATTCTATTCATGGGAACTCCTCATAATGGCCTCAATAAAGATTCGGTGTTGAACACACTGGTTGGCAGATATCCAGGCCCTGGCCAATTTATGCTCAACCTTCTTACTGATTCGGATACTTTGCAGGAAATCACAGATTTGTTTGTTCCATTGGCCAAACGATTTTCCATTTACAACTTCTGGGAGCAAATGGAAACTTTTGATGATCAAACACGAACAGGTTTCTATGTTGTAGACAGATTATCAGCTGCGCCAAGTTGGGATCAGGTTGATCAATGTGGAATAATGGTGACTCACTCCGGAATAGTCAAGTTCAGCACTCATACCGATCCTGGGTACAGTGTGGTTTATGCGACCCTTCGAAAATATATCAAAGCTGCCCCACGAGTTATAGAACAGAGATGGGAGCAAGAGTCACAGCTGCGTATTGCAGAGCATAAGCAGAAGGTAAATGATCTTCTTCAAGGTATCCCGCCGCCAGCTTCGGCTGTGGCTCTTACATCCTACGCCAATGTACACTATGTAGTGCATCGCTGTTCCAATAGTTATTTTGTTGGTAGAACAGGCCAAGCATATCATGTCCAGAAGATGTTCGGTAATATCACAGAAACCCCTCGCTCCAAACATAAGATACTCGTAATCCATGGGCTCGGAGGATCTGGAAAGACCCAATTTTCTTTAAAATACATAGACAATAATCGTCACAGGTATGGATGGTATAGTCCAAAAATTCACAACGAACATTGTGCTAATCATTTATAGGTGTTGGGGCATTTTCTGGATTGACTGCAGCAACGAATCAACCGCCGAGAAAGGGTTTGCTTCCCTTGGGGAAAATATGGGTAAAGGGGCCTCGTTTGAAGCGGGTATGCATTGGTTGTCGAATTTATCAACATCATGGCTTCTTGTCCTCGATAACGCAGATGATCCAGATATGGATTTATCCCGATTTTTTCCTGCTGGCGGCAACGGTCACATACTGGTGACAACACGCAACCCCGGCGCAAAGATCCATAACACGGTTGGATACATCAAGTTTCAAGGGATGGACCCAGAGGAGGCTATCACATTACTTCTCAAGCTAGCTTACCCCGAAAACGAGCCCAAATTTTCTCCAATTCCGAAGAATCGCCAAATAACTGAGGGCATTGCCTCCGAATTGGGTTATCTAGCACTCGCCCTTACTCAAGCTGGTGCTGCAATTCGACAAAATATATTCACATTGGAAAGATATTTACAATACTACCTTGGCCATCGTAGGAATATGATGCGCTCTTGTTAGGTCAAAAGTTGTACAGATGCCAATATCATATCCACCTGGGAAATTCCTTTTGAACGGATAGCAAGCAAGGATTCTCTTGCTCACAAAGATGCTGTAGAGTTGATACAACTTTTTGCGTTCATGCATTTCGACTCTATTCCAGAGCAATTACTGCAAAGATCTTCGGATGGGATAAAAAGGTCGAAAAGCCCCTCCACTATTTATCTAGCGATTCTCAGGGTCAAATCAATGTGGAATGAAGATGCCCAAATTCGACTTCGACTGGCCATTAATGTTCTATGCGACCATTCAATCATTGAGAATGACCACGAAAGAAAAATATGTTCTTTACATCCTGTTGTCCACCGTTGGGCTAGGGATCGACTGACAGATATGCAGCAGAAAGAGTGGCTGGGATGTGCAGCGTCAATCCTCGCACATTCCATATCACCAAACCTCGAGACATCCGAGAGTGGTTTCAGGAGGCAACTATTACCTCACATTAATTCTTGTATCAGTGCCTTAAAAGATGTGTATGGATCTCTACCAGACAACATCGAGAAAGCTGCTGAGTTAGAGAAATTTGCTCTAGTCTATGCAGAGAATGGGTTATGGAAGCAAGCGAAGCTACTTCAAGAAAAGGTCGTACGTTTCCGGGTCAAGGCACTGGGTAAGCAAAATCACTGGACTCTCCAGGCGCAGCGACACCTTGCGAATATGTACTGGAATCTATTTGAAGTACAACAGGCCTTGCAACTCCAGTCACAAATACTACAGGCCCAGTGGCTGTCACGCCCTTCAATATTCTCATGGATAAGGCATCCCTGGGACCCAATACATACTTCATATTGTGTCGCTCTTGATGATTTTAGTCGTACATTGTGGCTCAGCGGGCAACGGGAATCATCAAGACAAATTGGGAAGCGTGCGGTGTATGGACTAACGAAACTTCTTGGGGACGATGATCCACGAAGCCTGGGCGCTATGTTTAACCTAGCACGAGCTCATCTACATCTTGGTGATCTTAAGGAAAGCCAAGAGCTACTTGTCCAGGTCCTCAAGAAAAGGAGACACTTCTTCGGGTCCGAACATCCCGATACATTGATGACGCGGAACGAACTTGCTATGAGCTTTGTTGCTCGGAAAACACACTTGGTTGCAGCAGACCGCATAATATCCAATGTCCTAAAGACGCGTACGCATGTTTTTGGAGAGGAGCATGCTTACACACTATGGTCAGTAAACGATCTATCCAAAATCTATTGTGCGCGCGGTCGCTGGGACGAGGCAGTGAGCATATTGCACGACATCCTCCCCATTGTTGCACGTACCTTGGGAGAGACATATGTCGGGATGATAATGACGAAGTCGAATCTCGCACGAGCATACATTGGGTGCAACAGATGGAAAGATGCAAGAGAATTGATTCGGCCATTGCTGAGTGAAATATCCTCCAGACATCCAGATTGGTTCCATATCAACCAAGAATATACTTTTATTCTTAATCATCTCGGTGAAATGGACGAAGCCGAACGCAATTGTAACGCCGTTCTTGACAAAATTGTTCAATACTCTATATTTGAGCTGGCTCATCCGTACACACTAAGCATTGCAAGACAACTCGAGAAGATCTACACAATGCAAGCGCGTCACGATGACTCTTTAAGGTTAACCCAAAGGTTCCCGTCATTGGAGAAACCCACAAAGTGAGTTGGCTTTCGTGTGGAAGCTTTTACAGATATAAGATTAGTGTCATTGGCCGCCAGGAAAATATGGATAATCTTGATTCAGTGTGTCGATTTACCTTTTATAATTGAGTAGGGAGGTTGGCGAAACCAGGCCTCAAGCAAAAGGGGGATCTGTAAGTAGACATTGTACTCTACTCAAAAATGAACGGCAGGAGACCAACAGCTGGTAATCTGAATTCTTTCCGGGGGATAATAGCACCCATTGTATTTGTTTTTATAGCAGCATTCTGAGACGAGTGAACGTTTCGAGTTTCTTCCATGTAGCACACAGGACTTAATAGTCGGCTCTCCATTGAACGGCCGCCTGGTTCCCAGTCGAGGAAAGCGATTGTCCCCCTTCGAATAGTATATAATTTTTGGGAAGGAATACGTAATCTAAAGCTAGAATCTACACTAAAATAATTTTACTTATATAATATGGAAGGGGGACAATCGCTTTTTTTTTGGGAACCACGCGGCTGTTCCATGGAGAACCCTACAATTAATAAGTCTAGACAGACGTCTACCAGTTGAAGGTCTAGACTTACCGTCGGTGTTTCGCGCAGCCCTCCCTGGCATGCATGGCTGCTAGTCGGGCAAAGCGAATGCTCATTTGACATCTACCAAAATTTGTATGGAAAAAAATTACATTTACAAAATTCCAAAATCTTGAATATTATTAAAGAAATGACCTTGTAAAGTATAATGATTACTACGAAAGGCATGGGAAGTAGGAGGGTACAGCATGTGTATTGAGTTGACTAATAAGGTAAGGTGTCGGCTGTAAAGAGAGGGATGAGGTTATCGTGGGCTCTGCACCTACTTATATACACAACACTCATTTCTCAACAAATATTTCAAAGCCCGATTCCTTTTATTTTTGAATTTTTGAATTTTGGAGGTAAAGTTGTATGGGAAAATCAAATTTCAAGTAAACATTCGCTTGGGGGTGGACGACTAGTAGCCACGCATACTAAAAGGGCCTCGCGAACCGCCTACAATTGTTTCCATCTGAGCTGTAAAGAGAAGAACAAAACGTCGAAGTACAAAATAGAAGTAACTGTGACTTTTGTCGATAGAGCTTTGTCAGTAAAGCCTTATAGTTCTTCTCAGCAAAACCCATCATAATTACAAAAATGCGTCCAAAAACGTATGGATCTTGGCAAACGTCTGCTGCGCTGATTTATGAAGCATCAAAGTGTGACCAGTGTTTTCAACAGCGGTGAATCCAAACCGTTCTACCCCCGGAAAGAATTGTTGCGTATCTTTTAAGATTGTCTGGCATGCTGCGATAGGTGGCTGGCAGAAAAGTTTATCTTCTACACCTGTCGCAATGTAAAGAGGCCCAGTGTAATTCACAGGTGGTAAGACAAATCCTAAGTTTCCCGTTTCACCAATCGTCCAAGTATCTGCCGTTGCAAAATCGTACGCAGCGACTTGTTGACTGTAATCACTGGCGTAAAACAATGAGGTGCGATTTGATTGCGTTTTCACAGCGATGCATCCTAGCTGCAGCTTTGGGAACTTTCTGGGGTCTAAGATTGATACAGGCTCGAGCTCCGTGGATGCAAAAGGTGTGAAGTTTACCGCAGTACTCCAGCTCGTCAATACCATAGCATTCACATCTTTGGGGTAAGCCACAGCAAGATCTGTCCCTAGCCATCCGGCGTAGGAATGACTGACGTAGACGATATTATCGAAGCAGCGGCCGAGTGGGCTTCTTGGGTTGGTACGGATTAGTTGAATTGGTTGATGGGTAATTTCAATCTGCATTGAACCTTGGACAACGATTAGGGGATCAGGTCGTTGAGGATTTGTGCCATATCATAGTCGATCAATTGCGAGTGTCGAGTAGCCTTTGCTGGATGCATATGATTGCCAATCATAGATATTGCTCAGACCAAGGCCAAACCAAAGAGATTTATTGTACGTGATACCATGTACAAGAATTTGGAGAGCTTTTGAGTCGTTCTTGAAGGAAGAGCGACAGTAAACACCATTCATTGATGGTGAACTTGCCAGTAACATTGGTCGAGCCCTTAACAGCCGCTCCAGTACTATTACCTAAACCGTCCCCATCAAATCGAAACTGTAATATTCAAACCATGCTGACAGATCAACAGTTGTGCCCTCCCGTTTTTGTAGCTGCTTGACTAGGAGATCGGCGTACTGGTACTGTATACAAGTGGTAAATTCTGCTCAAGTGCTTCATGAGATGTTGTCAGTAAACTTTAATGTGTGCCTTGAAGATATCTAACACCAACCTTTGATACTGAATGCAGGTTCCCATACCCCACGGCGAGCAGCATGAAGTGTCGAGTGCCGTGTAGTATCTAGAGATACCATGAGATGGAGGATATCATAATATGCCGACCGCCCACAACTTGATTCGGGTCCGTGAACTTCATTTTCCGCTACGCCTCCTTCACAATAGTTGCCAAGCAATGTAACTTTGCGTCATTGGGACGTGAAGGATGCGGTACCCGCCGAAATTGTGGGAGCCTATGATTTAGTGCATATTCGCAACTTCGTCTTAAAAAATGAAGATGTTCCGGGAGTTCTCTCGCGGCTTGTATCATTGCTTCGTCCGGGAGGAGACTTGCAATGGGGCGAGCCAGATGTATCCTCAGCAACTCTGAATGCAGGGCAGGAAATTAAAACTGAGGCATTGAGACCAACTACAGTCCAAACTCAACTAACTGGGTTTTGGAGTGAACCGTAATGGTCTAAGTGCAGATTATATCAAAAGAATGAATAGATGATATAATTAAAAGAATTCTAAAAATGGAATTGATTCTAATTTTATATTTATATATTAATATCTAAGACTAGATTGTATATAACCTGGCTTTATCCAAATACAATTCGTTCCAAACCTAGTTAGTTGAGTTTAGACAGTACTTATACTATCTCAACCCCAGGATTCTCGTCTGCGCCCCACATGGGTCCCTTGTCTACCTGATTTGTTTCGTGCAGCAGGCTTACGGGCGATCGAATCAGATAGTCGATCTCCAGCCCCATTACTTGCTCTCGCAATGCACGAATGTAAACTTCCTATCCATGAGCTAGTCGCGCTGCAGACTGGGAATAAGGCTGTACTACAGACCGTACATGGCTTGATGCCTCAGGTGCCAGATGAGACGCGCCAAGGGGCGTGCTGGGCGTTTACACGCTGGACTGTCATAGGACAGAAAGAATTGTGAGCTTGGTAACCTTACAGTCTTCAGTTTGCTAGACTAATTTCATGTTCACTTCAATGTTTCAAAATTGAATTCGAAGGTTCTACCCCCTCGATTGCGTTTATGATCTATCTATATGTAAGAATGATACGAGATATCCATGACTTTGCTCTGATTAAAACAATGTAAGGCTCTATAACTGAAATCGTTTGAGAAGCCTGGAGGAAGTTGTGGAAAACAGGTTCCGAATCATATTCCAAACCACACCTCTATTTCCAAAATATGACTCTGGTTAGAGAAAAGTCGGCTCCTTCTATGTTTGGGAGCGTTAAATGGAGAAGAGCGAGCGCCGAGTGACATTATGCTGGGTACAGGAGATAACTTTGCCCATGGCATCTACGAGATTTCAGAGCAAATGCGTAAGGTGTTTTACTTGTAGATTAGCTTTTCATAGAGAAAATAGCAGTATTAACTTTATAGTATCACGTAATACAAGAAAAGGCACTGGCAATAATTTGTTGGTGTATGAAATCATTTTCTTGCTAAAACGGATGCCATTATGTGTCTAAAAGAACCCGTGAAATTGTCCGGCGTGATCTTGATCTAGTCACTTGTGAACTTTCTGATAGCATCAACCACGCTGTCGGTGGCGGTCAAGTTGGGGCAATGTCCAGTCGCCAACTCGACAGTATCAACAGGACGGCCTGCTTTTTCCATGCCCTCCACGAAGCTTTTCTGGTAGTCGAACGGGACGGTCATATCACCTGTTGAATAAATATATCCAACTGGTATCTCGCGCCAAGCGGCATGCTTGATGGGCAAGTACATCGCGTTGCCATTCCAACGTACGAGTGTTGAAAGGTACTCATCAACTACTTCGGGAGCAAGGTCATTGGGACCAACGAGTAGTGTTTTTGGGTCGTTGTTGGTGCAAGAATTATCTTCAGCAAAGTTGAAGGCAACGGGTACTAGGTCCATGTGGCCAAACTCTTTGACCTTGTCCATCATGCCGATTCCTTCAGGGACTGCAAATGCTGCCATGTAGATCAATTTCGACACTCCACCGAGAAGACCCTTAGCTGCACGAGATTCAGTGCCAAGGCCGACGAGAGCATTGCTTCCAACTTGTCCATCGTAAGAGTGCATGATCGCCACGACAGTTCGTCCGGCCCGCACAAGGCTTGAGACGTAGCCACGAACGAGATCAGAATCGGTGTAAAGGTCGGCATTTGGAGGACGGGACTGCCACACATGATAATGTTAGTTGATATGGCTCTTTGGATCAATAATTCGATGATCATACATACCTCATTTGTTGATGGCAAGCGTGGGCAGTGTACTTCATAGCCTGCGTTTTCGAGAGCTACTGTGAGTTTATCATAGGATGCCGGTACGTGCCAGCCACCGTGAATGATGATGAGTGTGAGTTTGATGGAAGACATGACTTGTGGTGGTATTTTGTTGAATCATGTTCTTGTAAGAAAGTTTTGTGTAGAAGCTCCGAGGTTTCTGCTAACAAGATGTTATTGCAAGTAATCAAAGACGAAGGCAAAAAACAAAAAGGTTAGGTATATGAATTATCAAATGGGGTGCCTCAAAACCATTAGTGCGTGTCATGCAGGTGTGAGTAATTATCCGCTGCGGCGGCTGGGTAGTGACCTATGTAAAAAGTGAATTCTATGTGTTGGGGTCCAAGATAAGTTGTGTTATGGTTCAATCAAGAATCTGTACATTCACAAATCAACTTATTTAGTCTATTCACCAATGGATTAGTTTTTTTCTATACAAACGCTTTGCCGAACTCTCACCAGAATGGTCACAGCACTGGGAAGCAGCAGACAAAGCAAACAGCAGCTAGGAGTAGAGCTTCCTTATAGGGTCACCTTTATAGGGTCACCTGCTGTGCCTATTTCCTAGAGCTGGTGACGAAACGTCACACATCGAATAACTAGGTGGTTCGAAAACCCCTCCATTGGTGAATGCATGAGTTGATTCGTGAATTGTCCATATTGGTGGTTAGATCGGAACATATGCCTCCACCGTGACCGAGTAGGTTCGTTCCAGATCAACAGTCACAATCACAAACCCTGCCTTCTCCTCATTTCTCCTCAAAACAAGGTAACGCAGTGAATTTTGATCGGATATCCACTTTCCAACTTCAAAATGGATGTTAGATGAAGAAATCTTGCAACTCAAAACTTGACACCTTTTACATCAGATCAGCTGAATTTTGTTGGAGGTGAATACTAAGGTTACATAAGCCAGGGGTGCCATCATTCAGTCGATTATCTTTGGGGCTTAAACTTCGTTCTACGCCTCCTTGATACTTTAAGGAATACTGCTTTATACGAGTATGAAAAAGGGATAAGTGTTTCTTCATTACCAGGAGAAGGACAATTTAATTTCTTCATATATTATATCAATATAGTTTTGGTAAAAAGTGCCTTAAAAATGAGGATGTGGTGGTTGCATGAAGCATGGGGTTACATTGTCATCTCATATTCAAAAATAAAACAATTCAAAGACGAGCATAGTTACAAAAAGCTGTTCCGTAAAAGGAGGATCAGGATCGCTATTCTATTTTCAACCCACTGCAGAACTGATTGATGTCAGAGCTCTTGTGCAATTATTCTTCAGTTATCTCCGTGTTTCCTTCCTAAAGCTCTACAGAAACTTCTGATAACTATGTTTCCCACTCCTCTATATCAAGCTCAAGAAAACTTTACTTCCAAATCGTAGCATTCATGTCGGACGCTGAGATGGCTTTCGTACATCACCCAAACGCTGTCAGTCCGGGGTATGTCACCTATGATATTGTGGCCTGCATTTTAACCTTTATTGCAACTATCTGTGTTGTCCTTCGCTTCATTCATCGAAGCCGCACCAAAGATTATATGCTGGACGACTGGGCAATTCTTTTGTCACTAATATTTGATATCGGAGTGCTAATTGGAACTCTATTGATCTCGGCACCTTCGGTTTCTGGTGCTGGTTATCACATCACCGCCTATACTATTCCAGAGCTCAACATGTATTTCAAGCTTGCTCTGGCATCTAACGTTCTGTACAACATGTTAGTAAATGCATCTAAAGCGTCCATTTTGCTTTTCTACCGACGTATTTTCTCTGTTGATCGCCAATATTTGGTATTCATGCGATTCATGGCCGTCATAATTCCTTTAAACTGCCTGGCTGCTGTTTGCGGCCTCATATTCTCAACAAATCCAGTCCGAGCACAGTGGAATGTCGGGATGCCTCATAGTAGCATGAACGATCGACTTTTCTGGACTATCATGGCAGTTGTCAACATCCTTCTAGATATTTTGATCTTAGGAATTGCCTTGGTCAAGGTATGGAATTTGCACATGTCGTGGCGACGGAAGGCAATTACATCTACAGTCTTCCTGCTTGGTGGTTTGTGCGTGAGCCCCTTTACACCTATTGCATGATTCAGCTGACATCTTTATTTAGTACTATCATTACAAGCATCCTGCGGATTATCTTTCTATTGACGGTAAAGCTAAGCGACATTACATGTAAGAGGTACTAATAAGTTCTGGTTTACAAAAGCTAAATGTCTACAGATACCCTTACTGAAGCAGGCATTTGGACAAACGTTGAGACAAATCTGTCTATCATTTGTGCTTGTGCGCCCGTACTCTACAAATTCTTCCGTGACAACAACTCAAATGAGCGCGCTGCATCAAATCAAAGTTCGGGATGGAGACCTAGAAAATTAATAGGAACTTTGGTCACCATTGGAAGCGCGCCAGCCAAAGTGAAGGACTCTGGATTCCAAGATTCCACCGACCATACAATTTTTGAAACGGACGGGGAGACACATAGCATGGAACCTCTGGCCCCAATTCATGTTCGGAAGGAATATCAAATTAAATAGACATACTCATGCCGCCAGAAAGTCCGCAACTCGGGAAGTCAAAGACTAGGCTATTCCTGTTGTAGTCTACCATCATATGGCACGTGCTAGCTTACCCGAGTTGCGAACTTTCTTTCTGGCGGCATGATCACACGTGCGGTAGTAATCATGGATCTATGTTTTCAACATTAACTTACCTCTATTTTTTTGTATTTTAATCATAAAATAGCTATTATGATCGAAGAAGACATTATTTCGGTGTAGCATCAATTATTCCTCCTATGATAATGACAGAAACATTTGAACTTCGTATCTGAAATATAGTGATTCCTATTAAAAATAAGAAAGTTTCTATATAATTATTTGACTAGATATAATTATTTAGTAATACTAACTTGAAGGAACTTATACTATTACTCGGCGGGATTCTAGAAAGTATATATATAAAAACAAAATAACTACAGCTAGCGTAATTTTAAATATAATATTATAAAATTCTAATATACTATTAATTAGCTAATTTTAAGCTTATAGATAAAACTTTATCTTAATCTACTTGT